GCCATATCTTGAAATCCATTTGTGGCAAGTGATTTTTAACTGGTAAATAATTTTTATTTTAATCTTTTGAATAATTACCTTATTCATGTATCCTAAAAGAAACATACGGTCAAAATTCTTCCTCCCACTCCTTCCTGCTGTCCTGCTCCGCGCCCCCCATGACACAGGTCACCACTTACAGTGACACACAATACATAACATTAGTAATAATAGTGACATTTATTTAACACTTACTACATGCCACACACCGTTCTAAGTGCCTTGTGAATATTAAATTGTTTAGAAACTCTGAGGCAGGGGCTGTAATTTTGTCTTTGTTACAAATGAGGAGACTGAAGCACAGAGAGGTTAAGTAACTTGCCCACGATCACTCAGATAAGTGGTGGAGCAGGTTGCAACCCCAGGCAGTCCATGGTTTATCTGTTATGTCATCTGTCTCTTTATGCAAATACAAGCAAATATGAAGATGATGTATTTTCCCCTCGTTTTTTCCCACAAGGTAGCATGTTGTTCTCATTGTTCTGCACCTTTGTTTTCTTCAGCACTTACCACTACTTACTGGAAATCATCCCACATTGGGACAGAGAGCTTCCTCATTCTTTTTCACAACACTGTGTGATTTTGATTAAAGACCCTCCCCTTTATGATCCAGCCAGGAAGTAAATACTGAACTGGATCTTTGTACCTGTTCTGCTAGTCCTTATGGGATTGAGAGGCTAATTAAACAAACTCATATCTGCCAGCCCGGTCTTTTTTTGTGTGTGTGTGAAGAAGATTCGCCCTGAGCTAACATCCGTTGCCGATCCTTCTCTTTTTTTTTTTGCTTGAGGAAGATTAGCCCTGAGCTAACGTCTGTGCCAGTCTTCCTCCACTGTGTACGTGGGATGCCTCCACAGCATGGCTGATGAGGGGAGTAGGTCCGCGCTGGGATCCGAACCTGTGAACCCAGGCCGTGGAAGCAGAGCACGCAGAACTTTAACCACTCAGCTACAGGGCTGGCCCCATGCCAGCCCGGTCTTTTACTTGAGGCAGGCTATAGAGGTTCAAAATTAGACATGAGAGAGGCAGGGGGGAAAAGGAAGAAAACTTGTCAGTCCAAAAGCACTTCCAAGTAGTGTGAGATGTCATACACAAGAGAAATACTCAAGCAGCACCATCGTGCTGTGTTCCTGCAGAATCAGCACCGAGGGCTACCTAAAATAGGGCCCTCTCAGAATTCAGTTCCCTTCCTAAAGATGAGGCTGTTCTTAATATCTCTGCAGCAGCCTTGCAGCCAGAATTGGCAAAATGGAAGTAATGGTACTTCCCTCGCAGGAGTCTCGAGGGCAGAATGAGGGTGAGAGGGAGATGATCCTCAGAAGGTGCCCCGCAGCCTCACGGCTGTTGGGGGGCAGCCTCTAATCTCTTGGACTCTGGTTCAGGCAGAATGCATCTGTATGCAGTGGACTTGGGTGCACTTTTTTTTCCTGGTGCTTTCTGCCTGATATCTTCTGGATAATCTTTTCCTCCTTTTATTTGTCTCTCTGTGTGCTTAAAGCTGACCATTGGGGTTTGCTTCCCCAAAGTTAAGCTACAGATGGCGTTTCCCCAAGGCCAGCACCCCTCAGGAAGATGAATTCAATGGAAATGAACTGATCCCCAGTCTGTGATTCATATCTGTGGTCTGGGAAGAACTGGGTTTAACAAAAAGCTATTTCGGTTGGAAGGAAAAATTAATACTGACTGACTCAAATCCAGAAAGAGGAAGCAGATATTGAATTCGTTTTGAAAAATAAGAGTTCAATTTAGGGGCAAGATAGGTAAGGGAAATTTTTCTGATGTCCCTTTTGAGATAGTTACCAAGGATAAGATCCCATTTCATATTCAATTTTAAGGTATTTTTCATAACCGTGGAAAGTATTTTCTTTAAAGGGTGTATATCTTTATTCTCCTCTTGTGTTCCTTTTTTAAAAAACCCAGGTTAATTTTCCAAATTCTCTTCTGATAGAAGAGGAATCCTTTTCGTTTTCATGTAATTTATATCCAAGCCTGTTTTTCTGATAAAAGATGTTCGCTGACTGTTTTGCTCATCATTGAGGGTGGTCTGATGGCAGCTTAAAAAAATCACAGCTCGTTTATTACTCTGATGCTGTTGTTCAGTTTGCTTTAAAATAATCCATATTGCAAAAGATCGAAGTAGAATGTATCCGAAAGGGCTTTAGTGCATGAACTGTGACCTCCAGCCTGCCAGGCTTCATGTGACTCTTATTCGAGTCTTTGAGTGGCCTTAAATTAGCTGAAGACCTGCCAGGAGCCAATGAGAAAATGCAGGTGAGAGTTTTAACAAGATCCCAGCCCGTAGGAAGCATTGACAAATTGCGGTTATTACCTATAATGTGGGTATGATTATGTCCCTCCGTCTACCTGGGAGGCATCAACTGAAGACCAAAGATTTTGTTTATCTATGAAAGATTGTGTGCAGATATTTTAACATGCACAGAGGACACTGTCAGTAGGGGTCATTGACAGGGGGATAATAAGGAAATAAATCCCACTCCTCCCAGCATGATGTGTCCTTGAACAGCACAAATGCTCACCTGGCTGATTTTCGTCTCCGCTGAGCTTTTATGGAGGCCTGGGAGGTGGCGGCCCTGTTGCCATGAGTCTCCCATCTAATTCTGTGACAGCCACAGAAGTCTCCTTTGTCCAGGAGAGGAGGCGGATGCTCTGGGAAGGGCAGCGACTCACTATCCCAGGTCACGTGGCAGATGTCTGGCCTCGAGTCCCTGTCTCTTTCGTGCTGCCTCTCTCAGGGGAAGAAGTGTGAGGAAAAACTGGCATCAACCCTCAAATCCAGATAGAAAACAAAGAGAGGGAACAGTCTGGAGAAGCTAGGAGAACAGATTCAAGATTTTTCTCTTTTAAAAATAAAATATCGTGGAAGAAATTTGGCCTTAAGAAAGTGGAGGATAAAGTCATGTTGAAGTTGAAAATAGCAATAAGAACCTGAAGGTCAACACACACAGCTGATCTGTAATGTGGATCAAGGTAGGAGGGGCAAGGGGAAGGAACAGGTCCTCTCAGAGATTCTGAGAAACTACAGCAGATAAGATTCAATGAAGGCTCAGTAAAATATCCTGGACCCACAGTTGTCAGGTAACAAGCTTAGTTTTCACTTTTGCTTTACTTCTTCCAACTTTTGAGGAGAGATTTGGGAGGATGGCAGACGAATCATTCTAAAAAATATTCAAGGGCGCTCTCGAATGCTGACATGAAGTCTAAGGCCTAGGTGATGGTCCCACTTTACTGACCACTGGCTGGGTGACCTTGGACAACCCCCTGCCTCTCTGTGCACCTCAGTTTCCATATCTGCAAAATGAGAGGATAAGGCTCCATTCATTCATGTAACAATTTTTTTGTAAACCCAATTGCCCTGACTGGAACCTCTCATAGAATATTTAATAAGAATGGCAAGAGTGGACACGTTTGCATTGTTCCTGACCTTAGGGGAGAAGCATTCAGTCTTTTATCATTAAGTATGATATTAGTTGTGGGTTTTTCATAGATGCTCTTTTCGGTTGAGTTTGTTCTGTTGTAATCCTAGTTTATGTAGCATTTTTATCTTAACAGTGTTGGATTTTGTCATATGTTTTTTCTGTATCAATTGAGTTGATCATATGTTTTTGTCCTTTATTCTGTTAATATGATATATTATATTAATTGATTTTTGGATGTTAAACCAACCTTGCATTCCTAGGATCAGTCGCACCAGGTCATGGTGTACAATCCTATTTATGGATTACTGGATTTGGCTTGCTAATATTTTGTTAAGGATTTTTGCATCTATCTTCATAAGAGATATTGGTCTGTAGTTTATAAAAGATATTTATTGAGCAACTGATGTGCCAGATGTTCTAAGTATGGGGGATTCAGTGATTTTTCAGAACAGATAAAAACTTTCCTCTCTTGGAGCTTACATTTGGGTGGATGACTAGCAAGCCTGTTCCACACTCGCATTTGGCATTTTTTTCTCTGACCTCACGATGATGCGCATGTTCCAGCCTCACTACCTACATGCCAGACTTTTGGTAAACTGGACAGTCCGTGTCTGGAGATGGGAAGAGGCCTGCTTTCTTTTTTAAATTGCTGTTTCTGTTTTTTCCCTTTTAGTGTAAATGTTAATTGAATTATAACATCCACAGAGAAAAGTGGCCCACACTTAGAATTTTCACTGACACACCCATGTAACCAGCACCCACATCAAGAAATAAAATATGACCAGCATCTGAGACAGTCCTTATGTCCCTTCCAGTCCCTAACTCTCCCACCACAGAGAAAACCACCTCCTGACTTCTAATACCAAGTATTAGTTTTCTTGTATGTGAGTTCTTTTGCTCAATATTATAGTTGTGAGATTCATTCATGTGACTTCATGTTGTCGTGGTTTCTTCATTATCGTTGCCTTGTATCGCATTGTATGAATGTTCAATAACTTATCCATTCTACTGTAAGTGGACAATTGGATTATTTCCTTTTGGGGCTAATATTTAACAGTCCTGCTGTGCACGTCTGTGGATCTTTCTTTTGGTAAAGGTGTGTGCTCTACTTTGGGAAATATACCCAGGAGTGGAATTGTTCTGTCCTAGGATATGTTTAAGTTTGGTTTTCGTTGATTCTGCCAGTTTTCCACAATGGATGTACAAAACAGGTGCCCACCTGTAATCTGTGATAATTCCAGGTGCTGAACATGGTTCCCAGTACATTGTAGCCCTTCTGGTGAGTGCCTGCTCGTATCACATTGCAATTTGAATTTGTATTTCTCTAGCATCTAATGAAATGAAGCAGGAGATCCTGTTCCTTTTATCTGTGACAATTCAACAGAGCCATCTGTTCACCCCAGGTCATCTCTTCACAGATATTGCAGCTTTCTTGGGCACCCCTTTCATGCTAGTAGTAAAATCAAGACGCCATTACTGTCCAAATGTCCCCCACAGCCCCTGACTGGCTTTCTATTTCCCCAGTAAGAAGAAGAAAAATGGCCCAGAGAGATCCATCACGACCAACCGCAACCGAGAGCCTACATATCAGTATAACATGAACTTTGAGAAGGTGGGCAAATGCGTCATAATAAACAACAAGAACTTCGACAGAGGTACAGGTAGGTGTTGTGGGCATGGGCTTGCCTTTCCTGGTCCCCTCCACTTGCTTCAGCTTGTCTTTAGACTTGTGGCAGACATTCGTCAGAAACATGCTGAGCCGATCTGCTGTGGCAGACAGCCCCTCCGCAGATGGTATTCGCATGACCAGGAGAGAGGGAAGCCGGGAACTCGGAAACTTTCAATCTAAGGTCCCACAAGGTGCATTAGCTGATGTGGGACTTGGACCAAAGGACTAAGAATCATTGGGAGCTGTTTGACCTTGACTGGAGCTCAGAGCTCCCCTGATGAGGCTCACATTTGCGGGTGGGCCGAGTTACTCTCTTTCCTTTGATTTTGCTTCTTATTTCTCTTGCTCATTTAAACTGTGACCTTGGCAGCATTGTTTACACCAGAGCACCTGGCTGGATGATGTCAGCACACAGGGCTCAGCCAGGGATTGCACATTGTGGACTTGATGCTTGATTCCCACAGGAATGGGCGTCCGAAACGGAACAGACAAAGATGCTGAGGCCCTTTTCAAGTGCTTCCGAAACCTGGGTTTCGACGTGGTCGTCTATAATGACTGCTCTTGTGCCAAGATGAAAAGTCTGCTGAAACAAGGTGCACACCTACCCTTCCTCCCTCTGTCTTCTTCCTGCCGCCGAGAGGGGCAGGGCCCAGCCGGTCTCGGAGGATGCCTTCACAGGACAGAGGGATCTCAGTGTGGGAAGCCTTCCTTTCCTCCTGGCCACTACATACCTGTCTCTGGGGTAGGCAGGTCTCTTTCAGGAAACTTAGATCTCTCCCTAAAAAGACCCAATCAGTTTACATTACAGCAAGAGAAATAGGTTCTGTATCTACAGAACAGTCTCGGTTTCAAAAAGCTAATTCCTAAGGAGGTGACAAATCTGTCTTTCTGTCCAGAGCAAAGTTTAAGGGTAAACTTTTCCCTGGTGGCAGATAGAGAACAATCACCCCCATATGCTTCAAACTACCTTATTTTTTATACAGCACTCACACAAAATTATTTCATTAGATCTTTAACACAACCCCTGCAGTGTTGGCCACCGGAATGTTATCATGCCCCTTTTATGATTGTAGGGACAGAGCTGTAGAGAGGATAAGGGACATATTGAAGGTACAGAACCAAACTCAAGCCTCAGTCTTTCGACTCTGGAACAACGGCATTCTCTGTTACACCACACTGTCTAATGGATGCCCGTGGGGTGTTCTGGCATTTAGGGCGAGTGTTTGAAAGTGATGCCTCACTAACTCGTTAGACACTGAGCCCCAGGCAGCGGACAGGCCCACAGTTGAAATCACTGCTGCTTTTCTTGGTTACACAACTAAACACAAAAAAGATCCCACCCTCTTTTGTAACACCCTGTCTTAAATACCCTCTCTTATGTTTTTAAAAACTAGGCATCTTTTCCTAATTTCTTGAAACATGAATCTTCTGTACCGTGGTAGACCTCACGGTAGAGGAGACTGGAGCCAGGAGTGTGCGTTTGGGGTCTAATCCAAGTTCAAGCTGCTGGGCGGCCTGGACAAGGCAAGTGTGCCTTCCTGAGTCTTCGCTTCCTGAAATGCGGATCGTGATACCAGCACCTCCTGTTTCTTAGGATTGCAGTGAGGATTAGCCGAGAGAAAGTTCGTGATCATGCTTTGAGAAGTGAAACAGCCTATACAGATGGCACAATTTTAGTTTCTGTTCTTATGAAAAGCATGTCATTCCACCCGAGCCCAGAGCATGTCACGATCACGGAATTTTCATTTACTGTCCTATCAAAATAGCAAAGCGGTTGGTTTTTGTTTTTTTTTTTACTGTACTTGTAGTAGGTTCCAGTGAGGGCAAAACTCCCATTTTCCAACTCTGTTTTAATTCATCTGATCTTAAGATAAGCTAAGGGGGAGAAAGAATTCCATCGCCTTGTACCTCTGTTGTCAAACTGATACAGAATCACTGTGCAGATCGATGCACAGGTCCAGCCGCGGTGGAAATGGGAGAGGCCACACCTGGTCTGCTGGGAACTGAGGCGGTGGCAGGACTGTAAGGCTCCGACAGGTCGTTCTGCCTTTGAGCAAAATTATGGGACCTCTTCAAGATTCCATTTTTTATCAGTGAAATGAAGATTAATGAGGCCTCCTTCAAGGGGCTCTTGTAAGGATTACATAAAATAACTCATGCAAAGTACCTAGGCCACTGCACATCATGGGTACTCAAGAAATTCTAAACCTTATTCTTCCCCCATTGTTGATCACAGAGAAGAAAGCATAGGTTAAATTAGTTAGCTATCTGGCTAGTTAGTTAGACTTGTAGAACCTTAGATGAGTTCGAGCTGTGCCAACCGGTTACGTAGTTTACGATTCCTCCCTGTATCCTAAATTGACAGCCAATCTAGCATTTTTATTTTATATTCTTTCCTTTCCTGAAATTTTTATTTTTTACTTTTTAAATTGTGGTAAAATACACATAACATAAAACTTGCCATTTTACCCCTATTTAAGTGTACAGTTCAGTGGCGTTCAGATTATTAGGTAAGCATCATCACCATCCATCTCCAGAATTCTTTTCATCTTTCAAAACTGAAACTCTGTCTCCATTAAACACTAACTACCCACGGCCCCCTCCCCCGGCGCCTGGCAGCCACCATTCTACTTTCTGCCTCTGAACGTGACTCCCCTAGGTACCTCCTAAGTGGAATCGTAAAGTATTTTTCCTTTAGTGACTGGCTCATTTCACTTAGCGTGACTTATTTTCTTTAACAAATACTCGCATGATATTTATTATGTGGCTTGCTTTGCAAATATTCACTCATTGAGTAGGTACGATCGTGTCCATTTTACAGACAAGGAAACCAAGACACAAAAGTAACTTGCCCCGTGTCACAAACCTAACGAACAGAGGCCACAGCCTCTGGCCCCCCAGTATGCTGCCTCTCAGTGGCTGCCTGAACCCCTCTCGCACTTGGGGCTCACGTCGTCATCAGGCAGCCCCATTCTGGTTTCAGACTGAGTGAGAATTCTAGAATTCTTGCTCTCTCTAACTTCTCTCCACGGGTCCTCCTTCTCTCCAAAGAAGTGCTCTTTCCTCTGAGTGCCTCTCTAAGTCAGTGGCAGCTGCCAGCCTGGAAGAGAATATTGCATCTGAGGTCCCACAGGACTTATGTTTTAACTTTTCAATGTTCAAATCACTTGCTTGCAGCTTCTGAAGAGGACCACCGAAATTCAGCCTGCTTCGCCTGCATCTTATTAAGCCACGGAGAAGAAAATTTAATTTATGGAACAGATGGCATGACACCAATAAAGGACTTGACAGGCCATTTTAGGGGAGATAGATGTAAAACCCTTTTAGAGAAACCCAAACTCTTCTTCATTCAGGTAATCACTTTTCACAGCCAGTACAATTGGAAATGGGAAAAGATTAGAGAGTGACTCAGATTGTCTCATTTTTGCACATGTATGTGCTATTTCACTTGGGGTATGCACATTTGGGTTTTGTTTTGCTCCCTCTAAATGCTTGGCATCTGTGTTGACATCAGATCACAAATTATGAGGGTTTCTTCAAGACATTGCACTACTTTTATTTGCTTTGCTTATTAATTCGACACATTCACTCATCACATTATCAGTGAGCTACTAGTTCTTGCCAAGCACAGTTCTAGGCACTGGGATCCAGTGGTGAACAGCACACACGTTTCCATTCCTGACTCCATGGAGTGATCTCTGCTTTGATATTCAGGCTTGCCGAGGGACAGAGCTTGATGACGGGATCCAGGCCGACTCGGGGCCTATCAATGACGACACAGATGCTAATCCTCGATATAAGGTCCCAGTTGAAGCCGACTTTCTCTTCGCCTATTCCACAGTTCCAGGTATCAAGTCTGCTGACCAGACCATGGCCATTCCACCATCAAAATGCAGGCCTGGGGCTGTATTAGTTTCCTATTGCTGTAGTGATCAATTACCACAAACATAGTGGCCTGAAACACACAAATGTGTTATCCTGCAGTTCTGGAGGTCAGAATTCCAGAACGGGTTGACAGGGTTACGTTCCTTCTGGAGACATAGCGGGGAACAATCTGTGGCCTTGCTTTTTCCAGCATGTTACAACCTCCTGCCTTCTTTAGCTTAGGACCCCTTTCCACTGTCTTCACAAACAGCAACCCACCTCTCTCTGACCCTTCTTCCATCCTCCCTTCACTTTCTCTCACCACAGCTGGGACACGTTCTCTTCTTTTAAGGACTCCTATGATTACATTGGGGCCCCCCCCCAGATAATCCCAGATAATCTCCCGTCTCATTTCCATCTCATTAATCACATCTGCAAAGTCCTCTCCATCATGTCAGGTAACGTGTTCTCAGGTTTCAGGGTTAGGGCACGGAGATCTCTGGGAGCCACTATTCTGCATATCTCAGGGAAGTATTCACTTTTTTCTCCAAGAAAGCTGAATTCTCTCATTCATTATTACTATTATTATTGGTTAATTATAAGAACAAACATTTCTATAGCACTTTAAAATATATAGTGTTTTTCATACCCTTTACCTTATGTCATCCTTATAATAATTGTGTAGGTGGTTAGGAAAGGTGTTACTGTGGTCCTAATTTTACAGATGAAAACTAGAGTTTGAGTGAGCTTAAGTGATGTGCCCAAGGTCACGTAGAGAGTTCAGTACACGATAGAGCTGTAGCTCGGGCGAGGACCCCTTCACACCGCAACATGTAAACAGGAACCAGAAAATGCCAGTAATGAGCTAGCCTACTCATTATTTACCAAGCTCTGCATTTGCCTGAGTCAGTTCAGTGGGAGTCCTTCCTTTGTCTTGGGTAAAAACTATCAAGTTAGAATTCTCCGAGCTGTAGTCGTTTGTCACGTGCTCAATACAAAGGAACTGGGTACAATAAATAGGTTGGTGTGTTTGGAAAACCAGCTCTAGCAGGATGTGCAGGTGAGATTCTGTGAGGATAACTTTACAAGTTTTAGGGGTCATGTAAGAGAATAGTTTGGTCTTCCTGCTCGTGAGAGGGAGGCGTGTGATGGGGGCATCTCTCTGTGTAAACAAACCTGGTGGCGGAGTTGTAGATGCTCCTCATGAGGTCTGGGGGAACTCAAGGAGGAAGGGTGGACTCTTCCAGGGAGGCAGGCGACAGAGGATTTCCTAAAAAAGAGCTGAATCTTGGAAAATCAACAGGGGGAAGGGTGAGGTGGCTTACCAGACAGCGTGCCACGGGGTGGGATAGCCCAAAGCTTTGGTCAGACTCAGGGTTGGACCACGGGGTCTGTTATTCTGCTTGGGTTGCTGTAACAAAATTCCACAGACTGAACGGCTTAAACCACAAAAGTTTATTTCTCACCGTTCTGGGAGGTTCGAGATCAAGGTGCCGGCCAGCTTGGTTTCTGATGAGGGCTGTCTTCCTGGCTTATAGACAGCTGTCTTCTCACTGTGTCCTCACGTGGCAGAGAGACTGAGAGAGACCATAGCACGGGGTGTGGCAGGGCATTGGCAAGGTTAAAACCTGGACAGGTGGGCAAGGGGCCGCCTTGTAGTGGGCCCTGTGTGCTGTGCTGGGTAGACGGAACTTCAGCCTGATAAAGGAGCACGAGGGAACTGTTCTAGGCAGGAGAGCCTCAGGATGAGATTTGGATTTCAAAATGGTTACCTCGGAGCCCTGTAGGACAGGGGTTAGGGGACACGAACCTGAGGGCAGTAATGAAATGGGTCCATCCTGACCAGCTTATTGTATTAGATGAGATAACTTCTCTGACCTCCTCTCTACAAATGGAACCCATTGTCAGACTGCTAACACCATAGAGCTCGAATCCTCATGCTGATAGTCACCAGTACTCTGTGCTGCAGGAAAGAATTCTAAGTGCACCTCAATCATTTTACACAAATAGGTTATTTCTGTTTAATGTCCATTTATTCAATAGCTGATTGTTATAAATGATAAAGATGATGACTCCATTCTCCTCAAACTGGTATGACCAATTGGCAGTAGGAGGAAGATGCACAGCTCATCACATAAACCAAGCACAGCTTTATTTTGTTTCCTACTGTCCTTTTAAATTGGGGAGGATGAGGGTGGTGGAATCTTCCCTTCCCCTGGATGAAAACTTCAGCAGGTGCATAGCTTTGCCGTTCGTGCAAAGATATTAGACAATATTGTGGTCACCTTTTAAAGTCACAACAATCGCAGCACTGAAACCAGAATGTCCAGTATGAGTAACAAATCCTGAGCCTGACTTGGCTTTAAATTCCTCTCAATTCAAGATCAGCCCTCCTAGAGGGCTAAGGTGCTGAGAGGACCTTGAGCCTTCAGCTTTCTCATCTCCTCCTCCACTTGCCAGATCCCTTTTTAGATTCTCTGGCATCAAAGTTGAGAGGGAAGTAGAGAGGGAGGGAGGCAAGTTAAGGGTAAAGCCTGGGTCCCAGGGTCACCTGGTTTCTCGTGCTCTGGATCAGTCGGATGATTAAAGCTGGCCGCTTCCCTCTTGGGCACTTTCATGATTCCTGGTTCCCTGGGCCCTGTTCCTCCTTGGGCCTTGGATTTGCATCTCTATGCCTGATTGTGTATTGTGATTTCTTCCTCAACTCCTGGACATCCTCCAAGCTACATGTCAAGCCTCTATCTGCTAAGGTCTTCTTGCCCCTTCAAGAAGTTCCACTGGACAGGATTCAGGGCAAACCAAGAGCCAGCTTCCTCTGCCATAGACCATGTGTGGTCCTGGAGGCACAAACCCCTTGCCCTTACAGTGCTGGTGCTCCCAGGGCAGCAGGCTCTCCTTAAGGCAGTTGGTAATTCAGCCGCCTCTCACCTCTGGATTTCTTCAAGAGAAGCCAGGCTGTAGTTCCATGTCCCCTAACAGTAGGAACACATCTCAAGATTCTCTGAGGTCTCCTGCAAATTCCCCTCTTGAGGCTTGGATTAGAAAGTTGCATGACCCCAAAGTGTGGTGAGAAGTTGCAGAGTTATGGAGCAGTTCTCCAGCATTTCCTTTGGAAAACTCTATATGCAACTTGTCTCACACTCACTTAGGTATCTAATACGTATCCATGCTGAAATACCAAAGCATTTGTTGAGCATTTCCTGCAACCCTCTAAATCTAAGCTGTTTGCTCTCTGAGCACAGCAGCCTGATTCTCATTAGGGACTTGCATGCAGAGTAGGGTGAAATAATTTCAGAAAAGCAGGCGTGAAGCTCCCAGACATGGAGAGCTCATTCTGGGTGGTGATGGAGTAGCGGCCAGCTCGGCTGATTTGATCTTCTTTCTCTCCTGTTGAAGGCTATTACTCATGGAGGAACCCAGGGAGTGGCTCCTGGTTTGTTCAGGCGCTCTGCTCCATCCTGAACGAGCACGGGAAAAGTCTGGAGATCATACAGATCCTCACCAGGGTGAACCACAGGGTGGCCAGACACTTTGAGTCTCACTCGGATGACCCACGCTTCCACCAGAAGAAGCAGATCCCCTGTGTCGTCTCCATGCTCACCAAGGAACTCTACTTCTGAGAAGAACCATGCCAGGGGTGCACTCTAGCTGAGAAGCGACAGATCACTTGTTAATGAATCAATTTTTTTTTGACACTCACTCTTGAAATATCCAGAAATTCTAAAGGATTTTAATTTCAGGAAAGTTTATTGATTCAACAGGAAAGAAACTTTCTGGTGCTGTCTTATGTTCTCTGAATTTTCAGAGGCTTTTTTTTTTTTTTTTTTTTACAATTCATTTGTTGACTTTGGTTATTCATTTGGTGACTTTGTAATTTCCTCTTAAGGTTAATTTTCTGTTCCTATTTCTTTCTCCTTGTTGTACACAGTACATACAACAGAAAATGATTTTTCATTGGCGTAGGGCGGATTCTCATGCAAAAATTCCCAGCTAAGTTAGAGGGGAAAAGAATTTAATGATTCTAATATGTTTCAGTCAGGATCCAGTCAGGAAAATGGAAACCATCCTAGGTGTTTCAGTAGAGGGAATTTAATAGAGGAAATTGATGTACTTAGATGATAAAGGAAAAGCCAAACAAAAGGAAGTGGTTACCACCTAGGGCTCTGAATGGATGTAGTTCCGTGAGTCCAGAAGCTGGAGTTGTCCACAAGAGCTGGAACCAGGGTGGGGGCTACCTGGTGGGAGCTAGGACCACCAAAGAGTTGTAGCAAATGGAGCCATGGCAGGCACAAATCCCCTGCCTGAGATGAGGCAATGCCGGTGAGTCAGACGTGGAGAAGGACCCTCCTCTTCACCTCTCCTCCTGCCCTCGAGTCTTCCTCCAGCACCAAACCGTTCCAGCCCTACCAGGAAGCCAGTGGCAAGGGCCCTGGGAAATGTGATTTCCTGCAATACAGAGGAGAGCAAGGGATAACGACACAGGGGAAGAATAAGAAACGGATATAAGCCTAGCCCTTAATGTGAATATAAGTGATCATATTCCCTGATGTTCAGCAATGCCTCCATTCAATCATTTATTCCTCGAGTTGTCAGATAATCTGTGTATTGCCACTCTGTGCAAAATAATCTGTTGTAGCTTTCAAATATACCTGGAACTTTTTAGATTATTCCAAGCCTTTTTCTGAGTAAATTTTTTGTTGCCTCTAATTCTCTAAGTGGGGTAAAATTCATGGTAAAGATTTTTGCACTTTGTTTTCAAGGTGATGTTGTTTTTTGAATTCTTGATAAATTACTGTTTTATTCTGCCTAATAACTGGTTAACAAACAAATGTTTATATTTATTGATTAAAACGTGGTGGCTTAATTCCTAACCTGCTCAGTTTTCTTTCCTTTTGAAGTGTTTTTGGCAGTGGGGAATTGAGAAAACAGGATGAGAATGGACCCTGCTGATTGACATCAACATAAAATATGATTCATGTTTCTTTTGAAGCTGAAACACTAATAAAACAATAAGTAAATAATCACTTAGGAAGCTGAAATTCTTTACATGATGGGTTAACCAACTGATAAAGCTGTTTGTGGTGGGCTGCCATCTATTAATTTGGCAACAAAATCAGATGGCGTGGAAGTATCATCTTTCAGTAAGAAAATTAATTTAGGGCCAGTTTATTAGACTTGTTCCTGGTTTCCTGCCATCTAAAACACACCAAATGTTCAAAATTTAAGTGGAGATCATGAATCAAGAATCAACAAACATCTACCCTACTATTCCCAGAATTCACAGGCTGTTCTTTGGAAAATTAAAGGTCCCTATGATAGAAATAAATGTGTCCAACTGCAGTATAATTTGAAGTAAAAATCAAAGCACTCTAGTTTTTTGTCTTATAAACTTCTTGAAAGAGAGAGAAATTATCCCCCGTGTCAGGGTTAATTTTTTTAATTCTCTGAGCAGTTATAGGTATTAAGCTTGCAAATAATGAGTATTAATTACCTCCTGTCCCTTAGACCGGAGATATAAATCACTGTTAGGAAAGAGCCTTCATCCTTGACTACTTCACTGGGCAGGCACTCTTGTTTACCAAGATCAGAAATCCTGTTGCAGGTTGGGTATGCGTTCAGTCACACCTCCATTCTTAAACTTTCTGATATTTTTTAAAGTCGGAGATTCCAACTGTGTTACCCTAACAGAGAACTCAATTCTGGTGAATGTACATTCCTAGCTGTCACTGTTACTTGGAACCCAAGCTGCCCCTTGCAGGAGCAACAGGCGGCGCACTGCCACTGTCATCTGAGGAAGACAGTGCAGGTCTCCGTGTCCTCGCCAGCATAATGGGCTCAAATCTGGGTTTCTCTGTGTTTCTTCTCAAGGTATCACTAGCCTATTTTAAGTGTTAGCTGTTAATACATTCACAGCTTTAGGCTCAGCCCTGAGCTTTTTCTCTGAACAAATTTCCATAAACCATCATAAGCCTATTATGTTTATGAATTTTCAAAATAGGTCTCAAAAGAAAGTGCTGGGGTTCAGTGTGTTCACAGGGTTTAGAACCTCAAGGAAACCTCTGTGAGAAAAAAAAGGGTGCCCACCGAAAGGGCGTAGACCCTGGTTGATGAATCCTTTGTTTTGCCCAGTCTCGCAGTGCATCACCTGAAATCTGTTGTGACCAGCTACTCTGGTGTCCAAGGACTGACTGCCTTTTGGCTTCCAGGGAGCACAGCTCTCCGTCTAGCTTTTCATCTTTCAGGCCTTTTTCCAGCAAACATCTGGCCAGGTGAACAGCTGCGGTGGTCACCAGTTTATAGCAGTAATTCATCTGTGTCATTAGGCAGAGAGACAATAGCAGTAGCCCAGATACCACTGAATTTCTGAAGGAATGGCATCCTTAAGGATTCTTTAAAGAAATGCGGATCAAGAGGTTCTTTCACACTGTTTGCCTTGTAAATATTTTAGTATCTTGCAAGAGCAAGTGTGTGCACGGTGACATGACATCAGCATCCCCTGGGAGCTTGTCAAAAATGCAGAATCTCAGGCTCCACCCAGACCTACTCAACAAGAATCTGCATTTTAACCAGATCCCCAGGGGATCCATGTGCACATTTCAGTTTGAGAAGCTGAGTTTTGAGGGCACGGACCACTTGTTTACACATTTTTACTCCCCCCTCTGCAGTGAACATGGAGCTGATAGTATAGTATATGCCTAAAAAGAGCTAGAGAAACAGCATATATACTTTGGAGCTTTCATGGAAGACGTTTTTAAGCATTTCTTCACCTTCAGCAAAATTCTTTTGTAAAACTACGTGATGCCCTTAATTTACATGGTACACTTTCTACACCCTTCTCCATCTTAAATGAGCCTTCTGCTGAGTGATACAGTAGAATTGTTTATGTTCTCAAAGTGTCTGTGAATGTGAATTGCAGCCTTTAAAATGCCTTTACAAACAGAACGGGATTAAGGGAGTCATTCCTTGCATGTTTATGTTGGCAACAGGAGCTGTTGTCCATTGAAGCCACAGAGCTTGTCTCTTCCCATCTGTCCTTGGAGCCCAGTAGACACCAAGAGAATTATTATCTCTCCCTGCCAGTGTGCCCACAGGCCATAGATCACCCTTTTGAAAGACCTCAGGGCTTTGTTTTGGATCAGACGACAAGTAATTCTTTTTGCTTCATAAATCATTAGCACAAACACACCAAGAACACATTTAGAAGGCCCCAGCTAACCACACTACTGATGTGGCCATGGAAACTCCATTAGTTTTCAGGTTCATACACGAGTAGCCCTCCAAAAGTACACGATCAACATTTGAAAACACAAAAGCCAAATATGATGAGTTGGCTTTGGCGTGGCTTTGGTTTATATGGCAGTATAAATATTTGTGACACTACAACTTTCTAATAAATTTGTTTTCAGCCTATAAAGCCAAACTGTGCCAAAGGATTTAAATTTGGAAGGCACATGGGATTATGGCTGCAGATATACAAGGCTGAGCATTTTCTTGAGCTTTGATGGTCTGATTTAGGTAGACGGCAGAAGGTTCAGGAAGGATTTGGGAAAGAGGGGGAAGTGTAAACAGTCTGATAGGTTTGGTCTAAATTGCTAGTTCCAGCTTAAGTTGTTTAAGGCATATCTCCATCAGCACAGCATCAAACTTTTTTTCAGGATCCAGGATTAGCAGAAGTGTTTAAACCATTAGTACTTCGAAATTTGGCTCTGAGTTCATTCTGAGTTCTGATCCCAGCCCTGCCATTTGATCATTTAATACTCATGTAACCTTAGGCAATCCTTCAGTTTCCTCACCTACACATGAGGACAGTGACGTTTTGAAGATTAAATGAGATCATGTATGTGAAGCTCTTAGCACAATGCCTGGCATGAAACACTCAATAAAAGATAGGTATCAAAGATGATGATGATGATGGTGATGGTGATGGTGGTGATGGTGGTGATCACGACAGCGATGACGTGAAGCTCATGGAAAGGCAACAATAGCAGATGCTCCACTGGACCCTGCATTCACTCCTTCTGCCTCAAGGACTATTTCCTTGATCACGTCTTCGTCTATGCTTTTCAAAGTGAGGTCTCTCGGAAGTAAAGGATTACACCGAAGATTGATTTATGCAACAAATATTTAAAGAGTCCTACTAAATGCCAGTTGTTGTGTTACGTTAAGCGTGGGACAACAAAGATGACCAAGAAATGATGCTTCCCCGGAGGAGGGAAACAAATCACTCCAGTGAAACAGTGGCTGTAACAGAGTTGTGTGTACATTATTCTGAATACAGGTGAGGGGATGTCCCTCTGCTTGTGGATCCAGAGAGGGGTTCCAGAGGAAAGACCTAATTCTCTTCCACTTCGGCCTCCCAACAAGGCTGAGAGGAGGCAGCAGAGAAGGGAAACGAAGGTCGGCGGGTAGAAGGCAGTTCCTTACTCTAGTGATTCTCAAGCTTTAGGGTGCCTGAGAATCCCGGAGCATCTGTGTATGACCCAGATTCCTGCACCCCGTCTCACCCCACCCCCCGGTAATTCAGTATTTCTGGGGTGGAGACCAGGAACCTATACATTTAACAAAACTGCGTGAGGATTCTGATGTAAGTGGTCCTAGGATGACATACTTTATTCTGATACCAAAAGGCTTTTGTGTGGATCAGCACGAGTGGCAGCAAAGACAGAATTAAACAGCTGGAAAAGACTACCGAAGGGCCAGCAATGCACTTGCTGTTGACAGACCTGGTATCTTCATCAGTTTGGGCTGCAATAACAAATTACCATGGACTGAGTAGCTTAAACAACATTTATTTCTCACCATTCTGGAGGCTGGGAAGTCCATGATCAAGGCGCTGGGAGATTCGGTGTCAGGTGAGAGTCTGCTTCTTGGTTCATAGGCTTCACCTTTTTGCTGTATCCTCACATGGTAGGAGGGATCAGGGAGCCCCCTGGGGTCTCTTTTATATAAGGGAACTAATTCTATTCATGAGGGTTCCACCCCCATGACCTAATCACCTCCCAAAGCCCCACCTCCTAGTACCATCATCTTGGGGGTTGGGATTTCAACACATGAAATTTGAGGGGACACAAACATCTAGGCCATTACACCCTGCTAGCCTTCCTACCCCCAGATTGAATGGCAAAGGATTCAAGGCACACATGTGCCCAGAACTAGAGAGCTCTTGCCCAGGAACTACCAGAGTCTGAACAGGAACTTCAAGCCCAGGGTGACTTTTTGAGGAAGCCTGTGAAGTGTACGGGAAGAGGGGACCAGCAGACAGCTGGCAGTGGAATGGGTCCAGGTGCACTGGCTTCTCCAGCTGGTGTCAGCAGGCACAGCTCTTTCCTCTTCCTCTCGAATCACTTAGGCAATCATTTCTAGACAAAAGGGGCCGCTCCTGGGGTCCTTCTCCTCCAGTACCTCATAGGTACCACAATGCAAAATGCTCCCTTCGACAACATTGCTGACATTTGTAGAAGAACTTTTCTCTACAGCACCTTTCGTAGTTAATATTAACCCAATTACTGTTAAGTAGAGAGGGAAAACAATAATTCTCAAGTGAATGTTTTTTATACTAGGGGTATAGGACCAACTCTTAAAAGCTTAGGAAGTTCAGCTTTTGCAAATTATCTTTTCTGAAGCTTCCACCTGTATTAAGTGCCGACAGTTTTTATGCACTGAGATGAAAGGGACAAGGTCTTTTTCTTTTGTCTTGCTAATTACAGTTTTGCTTGGCACTGTGAAGCCTGCCTTCCTCTTGAGATGTTTGCCAGCATACATTAATTGTGCAAATATTTACAGACTGCTAAAGCACAGGGGCAGCTTATACCAAGAACGATATGGAACACTTAGAAAAAAGCCTCTTTGACACATTATATTTGTGGCCCGT